CCGCCCCCCAACCCCCCACCAAACAGGCAGTTCAGTTTCATTTTGTACTGGTTAGTTCTGACTGTAGTTAGCTCACCACAGGCCTCTTCCCATACTTGCCAACAAGCTATTACAAGATCAGTAAAAAAAAACATAAAAGCACAGAAAATAACTGGACACACGAAAAAGCAATGACTGGAGGTGAGTCACAGAGGAAAAATAAAACGCTGGTTGCTTTTCTGAACTGGTTGTACCATTTATCATGCACTGTGGGAGGTCATTTAAGGACAGAGGCGGACAGGGACAGTCTTCTACTGATGCAGAACCTTTTACACGCTGTTTATAGAAATGATAAGAGAGACATTCCTTTGGTGGTCCTTTTAGTGAACTACAGAAGCGTCAAATAGCCCAGGAGCAGGAAGATGACCACCACGTTCTCATTAAAGCTGTTATAGCAAATTTGGATAGCAAATTAGCTTAAAACAGTTTTTCATGCCTCTTAACAAAGCTCTCCCAAAGTTAGTTCTAGTTATAAATAGGGATGGGTACCTTTGACATTTGAATCGATTCGGTACTAATTCCCGGTACCTAGGAATCGATACCGGTACTTAACGGTACCAATTTTCGATACTTTTGAGTGTTTATTAATTCTCTTTTAAAATTAAATATAATTTTTTCTCAATATATAACAATATTTGATAAATATCACGATAAATAACATACGACTGTTTGTATTTTAACATCGTCCTTGTAGTTTTATAAGCTGATAATTAAACTGAAGCAAACATCTTTACTGTGAACTAAATTTACTGTGTATCTTCATTCCTTTTGCCGTCTCTTTTCTTTTGATTTGTCCTACTGGGAAGTTAGAATTTCCGAGGAGAAAGCGAACGCACCATTAGCTGATAACGACGGTGGCAATGGAAGCTAACATATCAAGCTAACGTTATCTTACGTAACAAAATAGCCATTTTCGCTTCGAACCGTTCTTTGGTTTGACGTTGTTTCAGGTGTCATCAAGGTTATAAAACTTACAGATGCTATGAATGCTACTAGAGTGTAGCTCACCTTGTAAGATGTCTGACTCCCATGCAGAAAACTTGGGTTTGATTCTGGGTGTGAACATAGTTTATTTAGAGTTTCTTTTTTACATTAATGGTATATTTTTTTACAGTAAGATGCCCAAATTTTTATTTGAGACTCGCCAAACGGCATTGAATTCACAGATAAAAAAGATGTGGGTTCAACTTTCATTTTGGAACAATTTTTCAAGCAAGGGAAGGGAATGATCTGAGCATGCAGGAGGACTGACCCATCATAAACCTTTGTCGGCTGTGCTGAAGAGAAAGGTACAGAACCAAATTAATTAATTAGCTGCGCGTTCTCCTGTCCTCCCCCCCCCCCCCCCCCCCCACACACACACACACACACAGGACTGTCTCAGCTGTTATTTTCGTTAAGGACTGTGCACGTACAGCACGCGCGCCTCGTGCACGAGCCTACTATTGAAGCTGCCGTTACGCTTTTGGCCTGAGGGGGCAATCGCGAGCATAAAAATTCAAAACTCCGTAAAGTCCCTTTAAGCTTTATCTTGGAAGAAAGTACACATACTGATGAATAACAATAGGTTATGTTGCTAGGTTTGTCACAAGGTGCTTTTTGGAAAAAAAAAGTCATTAAGGGAGTCTGAAAAGTCATTAGAAATAGCGCCATTTTTAGCCCCAACAACAGTTTCCAATTGCAAAACAAGTTGTTCTAGAACCCCTTTGATTTTAGAATGAGGTTAGGATTAGGAATAGTTGGAACCACTGATGACTAATGTCTGTCCACTACCGGCATGTTTCTGTGTAGTTGAGCTGACCACAATCCTCTTTCCTGTTTCCACCAGATCCTCTGCATGTGCCTGACCAGCTAACAAACTATTATGTTCCCAGATCAATAAAGACGATGAATGCTAAATGACTGGTCACACTTAAAACAGATGAAGGGGCATGAGCGGTGACTCAGATATGAGAAATGTCGCGTTAAAGCCTGGAACTGTTTTCTCAGTACGAGTCTAAAAGAGCTAAGCAGGAACTTAATGAAGAAAGGTCAAAGCACAAAACTGGATCTGAAGTAAGTAAAAAAAAAAGAGCCAAACACATGATGCAGCAGGCCGAGTGGGGTCGGTCATTACAGACCTCCGGCGTATTGGTTTATTTGTTCAAATCCTAAAATGTGCTGAACGGACCCACAGGGACTTTCATGGCTATCATTCATTCACCAGAGTTACAACATGAATGAGAGAGGCTCTTTCTTACTCTGGAGTTCAGCTATGACCTCCAGATAATGTAAGGCAGGACTGCTCCAGCTCCCCGGCACTCGGAGGGAAATCCTTCGAACCCCGAGGCGATACGCTTCGTGATCTGAGCTCTGCTTAATCAAGATTTATGAACGCGAAGCAGCATTAAAGAGCCAACACTGAGCACCAGTGACAATCAATAACACATGGGCTTAAAGCGGAGCCTGATAGTGCAGGGGAGACTGTTTTAGTGAGAAACGTGTAAACAGAACCGGTCTCATCGATGGGAAACCAGTGGAAACACTTCCTGTTCAAGCAGCAGAGTCTAGTTTTAACTTTTAACTGATTGCTTTATTCTATTCATTCAGTCACAGCTTTTTATGAAGCTGTCAACCTGATAGCATATGTGGGTTCCTGCTTTGGACTGAATTTGTCTTCAGGGTTTGCAAAAATGATCAGAAGTAGAATATGTTTTAAATAATATTCTATCATTTTAATAACTTCTGGGGAGAAAATAACCCTCGATCTGTCAGTGACACAGAATAAGACGAACCATTTTCACATTTGATTGTCAGCTAATATGCTAAAGCTAATCCTAAAAATCATTAGCTAAAAGGATAAACCTGTTCTCAGATCTCTAAACTGTCACAATCAGGCAGCGGTTTAGTCATTTGGAAGACTCTGAGACAAACGTAACCGCTGCAGAGGGGGAAACAGACTGCTCAGACAGAGACTTTCCAAAACACAGTCTGCAAACTAAACAGCAGTATCATCATGTCTCCCTGTCATCACTATTCTCCCAGTCACATCAACAATGGAAGCCATGCTGAAGAGTGGGAAACATCAAAAGCAGATTCAGCTCTTTGATGATGGATCTACTTCTATACATATAAAACAAGCTACTTAAAATTCAACTCCAAAGCTGGAGCAACTATGATTTCAATCCATTAGTGAGAAAGTGTCTGTGAACGTTATTGATTCAGCATCATTAGATTACCTTGATCTGCTCAGGAACAGTTTCCTGAAATCCCAAAGCAGCATTCTGAATTAGTGCAGGAATGGAGCTGAGCAGTGCATGCAAGAGCTTGTGTCTCCCAGGTCTTTAAGAATGAACCCAATGAACTCCCAGTGGTGCCTGGGAAAAGAATCCCAGACAGCTCAATCTTACAGTAACACTGCCCTCTAGTGGGCTGAATGCGTCAACGTTTCCCCTGTAAGTCCAAATAGCTGAACAGCTGCAGCCTGAAGTTTAGAAAACACAACTATTAAGCCGGGAGGTTTGCTGCTTTGGTTTGTTAACAGAGGATGCTACAAGACCAGAAGTAGAGGGATCATAAAAACTGGAATTATTTCAGACTTCCAGAGGATGGATTGGTGTCAACAATGAAGTAACTCCTCACCAACAAAACCCGCCCAGAGATTAGACCGCTGCGGACGGGAGGAGCGTGTTCTCCGAATCATCTTTCTTGTTCTTTTGAAGATTAGAGAAGAAAATCAAATTGTTCTCCCTCAGTGGGGAAACTTTAGTGTCAGGATTTTTCCGTGGAAGAAAAGGTGAGCACTCTCATCAACCCCGTGTCCTGAAGCACCCTATGGCCATTAGTGTGTGTGTGTGTGTGGTTGGGAGTGGACTCTCTCACAGTTCAGGCTCAGAACAGCCAGTACCTAAACATCCTCCCAGAGGAATTCCTCCAACCATTCGATAACTCCTGTGATCAGCCTTTTCCAGTATGACGAAGCTGCGAGGCACAACTGAGAGACACATTTTGGGTCCATGTCCAGGAAACCCCTTATACCGAAATCCATCTGAGGTAGTGGAACAAAACAAAAAAAAAAACCCCTACTAATTCCAAGTATTGACAATAAATAAATAAATAAACAAACGGGCGGGCTGCCATCATTTTGGCCCTGAAGACAGTCGCCTGGTTGTCTAGTTCAAAAAAGGTCCAAAAACTCCAAATAATCACTCTCTGCATAAACAGGGTATCTGCAGGTTTAAGGGAGCCAAATTTAAGACTTTTTAAGACCTTTTTTAAGGCCACTTTGACCAAATTTAAGCTATTTTTTAAAATTAAATTTAAGCTATAAATTCCAGCTATTGCCTGGAACCGGTGCTAACCACGTCGCGAATTTGGGATTAACCATCCAGTTACCATTAAACTTGCACTTCCCCATGGCGCACGCTCCCACTAGCTTAACCAGCTAATGTGCTCATCTAAAAATAGCCCCCTTTCACAACCAACTGAATGTGTACGGTTCCGCTTACGCCAACATCTTACACAAAAAATGCTGAACACTAACTAGAAATTCACGAAAATTTTATAGAAATAAAATAATCTTGTTTATTGGGTCTTTGGTAATTTAAGACCTCTGGAAACTGTATTTAAGGATTATTTGTCATTTTTAAGGATTTTTAAGGCCTTAAATTTGGAAAAGCTAATTTAAGACTTTTTAAGACTTTTTAAGGACCCGCGGATACCCTGATAAACTTAATGACAATAAAAGTCTTTAAAACCAATTAGCTGCTTGTTTTTAACTCCTCAGTAACCATAGAAACATCTGGCAAGATCGAAAAGCCCAGCCAGTCCTTTTCAGATGTTTTTGTTGCAGTTGTACATCATGGTACAAAAAAAAAAAACAACCTTTGAACAAATTGTGAGGAAAGTGTACAAAATAAACAGAGATGGAATCATTTCCTTTGGTTTGACCTCAACTAACAACAACAAGCACAAATGGAGCATCAGTTTGAAGATAATCGGATTTATTCTAGTTGAGAAAATGAAACCGATCCCACAAACAGGCAGAAAACAAGGTTGTTGCTGCACACCAGCGGTCCGTGAACTCGTCTCTACCGTAACTGTTAAATTAAACATCAACTTCATGACTTTGCTGTCAACGTGTGGAGTTTATGAACTACGCAGCTGATTATTCTTCTAGAATGCAGAACAAATAACACGTTAAAACTCTTAAAATGATAAAAGTGTGAAAAATAAATATGGAACTATATGACGACTAGCATCACTGTACTTATAGGACAGAACTTCATAAATTTTTTACAGAAATTCGCTGTGCGAAAAATTAAAGATTAAGCCGAATTTACAATTTCTATACGAACAGAGAATCTACAAACAAAACTGTTTACAACTTAAGATTCCATTTACAACCTTCATGTAACGTGAATATTTTTGATGCTACCTTATATGACGTATTTACTGCAACTAAAGCCCTATGTGAGCAAATTAAAAGCCTAATGCTAATTAAATATTCTACTACACTAAACGTGTCAGCTAGAAAAACAGGAACCAGAATGTTCCACGTTTTGTTGATGAGTCTGCAACATGTCTGGCTCACAGTTCAACGTCAGCGAACTGGTCGGGCTCAGGCCGGGCGTGGAGGGGAACGCATGGGATGGGGCGTGTGTGGTGAATGGCCGGGATGTAGGCGTTGGTCACCGGCACGTCCGCCATGGCCGGTCGAAGCGACAGATCCCGCAACAAGAAGTGGATCACATCCTCGGGATCTGGAGGTTGAACAGAAACCATAATCATACCCGACATCGATAACAAATAACAACATGGGGGTTCAACTGTTTGGTTTAACAAGACAGTGTCAGAAAGGCCAGGAGGCCACGTCGACCACTTCAGATTAGTGTTGTCAAAAAAATCGATACCTAGATATAAATCGATGCTAAAAGTGGTATCTAAACTAAATATTCCATCCCTGTGGTATCGATATTATGGACTACTATACACAGCCTTCTTCAAGTACACCGACACAAACGACAGCCAGATGCCGTAAAGCAGACTCCGCCTCCCAGACAAACAGAAGAAGACGCCGCATGGCTACATTGCAATTTCCCACGCGAGTTGTCTCCGATCCAAGTTTTGTCTGCCAAGTAAATAAACAAAAACATAAACAGCGAATTTGGGAGGCACTTCACAGCCCAACTTAATTAGCATACCAAGTCCGACACGTAGTTGTATATTCACGCTTATGTGCTTAAAGGAAACTCCCGTTTATTGCAACCCGGATTTAATTTCCAGCATGCAGTACGTTTGTTTACTCACGCTGACAACTTTGGTGCTACTTGGATTCCCCGGGGTATTTAGATCCATCGGCGAATCGCCATCAGTGTATATCCATATAACGGGTGTGGACGGGCACCCATGGTGCAGACTCGAAATAAGACATTATCTGCACCAGAACATCTCAATGTCGAAAGGTTTTGTTAGGAATCATTAACGTGATTCCCCTGTTCGTTTGGAGCGGGTCTGGGATTTCTAGGCGTGAACAGACTAGCCGCGGCTAATCTAACCGGCGCTTTTAATGACGTCACTGCCGTGCGCCAATCTGTTTTTATTAAGATTACCGGTAGATGTACCTTTGTCCTACTGTGGAGAAATTCATTTTCTCCCTTTATTGACCAACAGAGTTGTTCAAAAGTACAGAACAAAACATATGGCATTACATCTTATGACAAAAATGCACCTTAAACAGAGTTTAAGCAGCAAAACATCACTCTGCAAATAGTGTATGTATAATGAGACAATTCATGATTTAAAGTGTTAACTTTCACCAGTTTTTGTATGCACGTTTTAAAAAATGCTGATACTTGAAAGGTTTAAGCACTTAATACACTTAATTCTTAACATTTAATTTTTGCAATATAAATTGAGGAATGTTATTTTTTGAATAAACGTGTTCAATAAATTGGTGTTTTTAAATAGTATCGAAATCGAGTATCGAGTTTTTTTCCAGTATCAAATCGAGTTTGAAATTTTAGTATCGTGACAACCCTACTTCAGATTGCGATGTTGTTTTGTATTTGTCAGGAAATACCATATGGTATGATGCCAAAGCACATCTTTTCCCAGTTTTTGGCTTCGACCTCTTGGATTTCCTTCTCCCAGTCTTCCTCCTCTTGCTGTGGCATCGGGGGCGGAGCTTTATCTGAAGAGGAGGCTTTGTCATCTCTGCAAAAGGGTGCAGGTTACTGGAGCTTAAAGCACGATCACTTAGAACACTTTACATGTCTGAGCTTCAGATGAACCCTGCTGACAAACCCGTGGTGAATGAATGAACAAATACATGTGGCTGATGCTGACACGTAAAGATTCACCTCTCTTTGTGTCTAAAGTTTTTCTTTCTCCTTGGATTCTTCTTTGGTGCCAATGAACCGGGATCTGGTGCCGCTTGTTCCGACTTACCACTCAGATGATCATCACCTGGCTTGGTGGCACCTTTGGTAGGGATACCGTCCAGAACCTTTACGTCTCCTACCCTTCCAGCTGCTGAGGCACTGCCCACTGGGGAAAACGGGTACTTTGGTCTCCTGTAATTCCTTGGATGAGGTGGTTTTGTGCTCCTGTATCCATGGTGTCCATAACCGTTCACCAGGCAGGGTGGTTTGGGAAAATCCAGTGAGCCAACTTTTGAGCTCTCACTGGTTCTAGTGGCATACCGATTTACTGCTCTGTTCACCAAACGCCTGCCTGGGATCTGACTTTTGAGGCGATGGTTGGTTTCACATGAGTGGTCGTATAATCCCTTCTGTCGACCCTCCAAGTTCAGACTACTCTGAGGCATCACGATACCTGTGACACACAGTTTAAGGGTCTCATCAAGAGTGTGCAAAACCTATTTTAAACAATATTTCCTTGATCAGAGAGCTGTCAGAGTATGGCTGCTGGTGACATTTGATCAGCGTTTACAAATAGCTATAGCTCCACATAGAGCATTAGACATTAGACTAAGTATTTTCCTCCGTACGGATTTCTTCAGTTTCTGCATGTTGGTTTGGTTGGTATGATGCAGTTTCTGTAATGCTGTTATAGTTTTACTCCGGATGTAACGGAGACTGAAACGGATCTGCAGGGCTTTAAATGTCGCTCTGGGTCCTTCTGTTCTTGAATTCCGTGAACGAGGCATGACGTGTTTCTTTTAGAGATCATTTAGCCTATTTCATGTTGTCAGAAAGGTTCAACTGAAGAGATTTCCTAATGCTAAAGGTCTGGCAGTAGTCAGGTGTGGGTGTGGTGCTGACCTCAGCTCATATTAAAAACAAGCATTCCTTCATTCCTGCTGCTTTTTGTGATTTGCACATTTTTCTGTTGTCATTCTAACTGCACACACTCATTACTGCATTTGCAGTTTTCCCATCCCCAGTAAATAATATTCCATCTTGTTTTTAATCCACACAGTATTTTTTTATTTCTAAAAATCAATACAAGGATTTTCTATTCTACTCAATTTTGTTATGTTAAAGGATGGTTAACAGGAGACATTATTGCATATAATTTCCCCATCATCGATGAAATGATGAACGCATTTTCTACTTATTCAGATTATCTAATAAGGATATCTATTTCCTTAATTTAGATACTCACCTGTGACAAAAAAACCGCCTAATCTGCAGGGGGAAATACTTTTCACAGCACGTATTCAACCTTTTCACTCCTGTTGAATTCCTTTATAAGGAACATTGAAATGAGTGGGAAATCCCTGACTAAACAGCAAAAACTCGTTGATGTTTCTATTTTTTTATTTATGAATTTTTTATGGAGTCACTATTTTGTTTTTGATTGAGGAACTGCTTCATGTGTTGGCCTTATTGAACGCAACACGATATGATTGCATAGCAAGAGATTCCTTCTCTCATCGACTAAACGCTTTTAATCGCCGGTCCAAATCTTCTATGTCGATTGATCGCTGACCTTGAAAGGTATGGGGACATTGCTGGTCATTTTATTGCCCATGTCATCTTTATTTGACACAGAAGAACAAGCAACAGCCCTTCTCCACATTAAAAGAACCCAAATAAGATATTGTCACCGAAAATGCACTTTGTCATCAACGAGCAGTCATTTCACTTCGTCTGTTCATCACAACCCCAAACATGTTCTTTTAGCTAGCTAACGTCAGCGTTAGCTTCATGCTAATTCACGCACTGAATAGATAAAACACGATAATCGAGTGACTTAAACATACGGGATGAACCAAATATGAGCTAAAAATAATATATATATATTTTACTTCTTACCTGTCCTGATGCCAAAGATTAATCTGCCCCGAACAGACTGGCCCAACCGGAGAGAGCTAACAACAAGCTGCCGCTAAGTGGTGCCAACACACATCATTTGATCCCCCCTTTGAACTGAACACAGGTGTTGTGCCGAAATGTGCATCCTTTGTTGTGAGAAGGCGCATATTAGTGAGGTGAGGCAGCATTTGAATAAATGTGCACCAGTTTATCTGTGTGCTTCTTTACAAAATGATGGTTTATGGGCAAATAAATAAAACAAGTGGCTGTTTGTTTTATTTGACGTATCAGTATTAAACCTTTAAAAGGTTTGCAATTTTGAGTCACATTTGTGCGTTTTTTAAACCAACAGCAAAATAATTTAAGCAAGCACGAAAATAATATAAAAGAATACCCACTCAAGCAATAGTATCAAACGCGTTTAAACGAATTTATATTCAAAAACAAAACTTTTTCAGGAAAAGCACAGATAACTATAAACGGCCCTTGTCAGGTGACTATTGGGTGCTGTAGCGCGTTGCATGATGGGATAGCTAAGTGTATAAACAAAGGAAGTGCCGGTCATTTGTGTTGTTGTGATCATATAAACCTCCAGAAAAATGGTACTTTCATGTTGTGTGAAGGGCTGCCATGCTATCTTAACGAGGAGGCAAAAAAGTAAAATGAAGGCAGGGATCGTGTTAACCGGATATTTCCAGTTTTGACTGTTTATTTTGATGGAGAAATCTTAAGGCTGTTGGTCATTCTGACAACCTGTATTTACCCCGCTGCATGCAGGTGTGAAGACATTTTAAACGTTACGCTCAGAGAACATCACAGACGTAACAAGAAAACAAGAAAAGATTCCCATCAGAACATCTGAGCATTTTCTCAGTCCTGGACACCACGATAGGCACAGCTCACTATCAGCACGCTGAGGAGCTGTGGAAGCAGCTTGAAGCATGTCTGTGGGTCACAGACCAGCTTCAGAACCAGAACACGGCAGGTAAAACATTCCTACTTCAAGTTAAATCGTTTCATTGTAACATCAACATGTTGCTGGACAGCTTGTTTAGACTAAATGTAATTGTGAATTTGTATTTTTCATTATGTGAGAAATGAAAATGACAGGAGGAAACGAACATGACCATGTTTTAAACTACAGTATGTCGGTCAAAATGTAAACAAACACGTCTAGTACGACTTCTTACCTGTTTATAACTTATATTGATAATGACTTATTGCAGCGCCTGTGTTGGAGTAATGTTTCTGGGTGGCTACATTTTACTTTTACTTGATTATAAATATGTTAGTGCTATAGTCATATATTTTCAGTAGTAATGAAACATCTGAGCTCTGTTTGTTTTCCTTGAGGTCGTAGGGATCTACAATGTTGATTGTAGACCATTTCTGGAAACACATCTCTGTCCTCCTTCAGAAGTTTATTCGTGTAAGGGATTTGTTCGTCCTTGTTGTTTTTATCCATTCTTTTGGCTCGCTTCAACTTCAGCTATGGTTTCCCCTAGCAACGCGAGTCATCATACACCTAAAATGACAGGGGTGTGTTGTTGACTGGAAGGTCACATGTTTGACAAGGACCTATTGTTTTTGTTTACTTCTGCAATTTGCTGCTGTTTTGACAGGTGAGCACAGGTGAGCACACATGCTCTTTTTAACACAAAGCTATGGGGTGTTATATATGGGGTGCCATTTGTAAAGTACAACAGGCCTATCATAAGAGAATAAAATGGGAGTTCATTTTTCAACGTTTTGTCTTCATTTTGTTATTCATACATGTACAAATCTTAAGATTCCCAACTAAATAATGTGTTAGCAAGCTAAATATACCATTTAGAGTAAAATATTTATTTAGTTTGTAAAATAAATATTTAGCTCCAAATTCAATATTTATTTTCCAAAATAAACAGATACCAGCTAAACATTTTTTGGATAATAAATAATTTTATTATTATTCCCAAAATAAATATTTATTTAGTAAATTAAATAATTATTTAGTAAATTAAATAATTATTTAGTAAATTAAATAATTATTTTAAAAAAACTAAATATTTAGATCTGACCTTAATATTTAATTTTTAAAATAAAGATGTATCTTTTTAACATTTATAAATGAATGAATAACATGGCAAAAATATGACTTTGAAAAATGAACACACACTTTTTGAAATCTTATCATAGGCTAAATAACCCCAAACCCAGCGCCTTGGTCTCCCTGACAGGGCTGCGGAAGGCGCTTTATAAATAAAGCTTTGATTGCTGGTAAATTATGACTGTTTGGCTTTACAAATGGCACTAGAACATTATTATTATTATTATTATTATTATTATTATTATTATTATTATTATTATTATTACATAACTCAGCCAACGAAAAGAGACCCAGTTGGATGCTAAAACTGGAGAGAACCTTCTGGTACGTAGTTTAAAACAACGTCCCCAAATAAAAGAGCATTTATTGTCAGACTGTCATCCTGCTTAAAGTATCTTTCTGGAGTTTTCCCCTTTCAGACATTATGAATGTTTTTTCAAAAATCTGTAAAAGTGATTATCTTATCATTGTAGCGTCATGAAATCATGAAAGCATCATCATCGTCATCATCATGAAAGCAATACATCTTTTTTTTCTTGCTAAGCACGCCCGTGCAATAGGAAACTGAGCACCGACCAGAACTAACCAATAGTGTCAGACTACCGCTTACATGCTTTATATTTGAGAAATACCATGGCTGATGCAGTTGATGAACTTTTCATGGACAATTAAGTGTCTAAAATATAAATATATGAGAACACAACATGAAATAAGAATAATACTTGTAAAACAACATGTTTTAGCTCTATTTGTTGGCAACAGAAGCCTGTTAACTCATTTAGTGCCATTGACGACTAAAGTCGTCATTTGCATTTTTTTTTTACCGTGTGGCCGTCGGAACGAACCCCTTCACCATGAGAACAAACATCCCAGCTCTAAAGCTGATCTTCATCCGCACACGTCACATGACCAGGAAACAAAAAATCAAGTGTTTGCCAGGAGATCGTTTTGGGTCGCTGCTGTAAAAAAAAAGTGAGGCGCGAAACCGCAAAAGCTTCTGCCGATCACAGTTCAACCACGGATTATGAAAGAATGGATAACGCTTGATATGCAAGGATTCTTCCTGATGTAAGAGGTAAGTCTCCTCTTTGTTTTGATTGTTTTGGCGTCGACATCGTCGTAGAGCGCAACGTCCTGTGACTCTTAAAAAACAGTGAAAACGCTGAAAAACACTGGTGGCAAAGGGCTTTTCTGATCATTAAACGGCTGGCAGTGAATGAGTTAAGTAACAAGAAACGTGAAGTCGCCATCTTAAAAAACGAAGCGAGATTCTGTGTGTGTGATGTGCTTGTCAGCCACTATGGGGCTATCGGATAAGAGAAATACCCCAGAAAGACACTTTAAGGATGACCAGTCATTTTAGCTTCATATTTTATTTTTTAGCCAGTTGAATGAAATTAGAAGGTCAAATGCAAAAGAACACATGTTTGTGGTTATTTTTTAAACATTTTGATGCTCTGTTTGATTTAATTCAAGTCTAAAATGACACAAACAGCTGCTGAGCAAACAGACAAGAACTGGGAATAAGTTACTATTGCTGGTAATGTTCACTGTTTAAGTAGGAAGACAGTAATTACAAACATATAAAAAGCCAGCTTAAAGCACAGTGAAAATCAGTGGACTAAGTATAATAAAAACAACAGTAAAAATAAGTCATTAAATTATGAAAACAGAACCCGCTGCAGTACCATGAGAAGCGTTGTGCTGTACGGCTATCAGGACACCTAAGCAACAAGAAACTTTTTTAATAAAATGGTATAAAATCATCTTGTACCGGTCTTAAAAAGAGGGGTGTGTGGCACATCAATACAAATGATCACCATTTATAGTCATTAACATGTGTCAGACAGACGGAACGATCCTTCAGAAAACCTGTGTAAATCTAAAGCGTCTCCATCTTGAAAAATGTCCTCCAAAGGCACAGACAGAAGAACGTGTGAGCCATGCAAACCAAAACAAATGGTTTCTGTGCAAGGTAGCAAAACTCGGGTTTAGAAGAATCATTATAATACAGCAGATTGTAACAGTTTCTCCTCCAGTACACAAATATATACACGTACGTTATCGACTAACTACAGAGGTTAAAAGTAAAAATGCTGTTTGGCCACACAGGAAGTGAGTGAAACGTTTAGTTGTACATTCGTGATATTTACAACGCCCACCAGCGTACATTCTGCTGCCCAAAGATGGCGATCAGATGGGTGATCCGGTCTCCTGTGTACTCTCACCATCGATCAGGCCGACGTACATCCACCACACCTTCTGTACATTCACTTCACAACTCTTCTGTGCAAGTTCAACTGGGGTAGACACTGGGAATCGTGTCAGCTTTGTCCCCACTGTTGTGGTTCCAGTTTAAAGACAAACCTTGGTTACATCTTCTGCAACCATCTCCTCCGACCATGGACGTAATTTTCACTTTAGAAGTGGGGGGGGGACACGGGGGGGGGGGGGGGGGGGATCTTTACAGTATGCTCTAATGGGAAACAGGCTTCAACACAAATGGTTGTTTTCCGCTTGGCCCTAGAGCTCAACCAGTGTCAGTTTAATATAGCGTAATATTGTTTTTGGATGGTAAAAAGTGCAGGGGTCAAAACTTGACTTTGGAAAAAGTGGGGGGGACATGTCCCCCCGTCCCCCCCCCAAAATTACGTCCATGCCTCCGACTCTGATCCAACTAAGGGACACTTGTCAGTGAAAAACATCACTAAGAAGCTGAAACAGGAAGTTCTTCTGCTAAATTCCCTGGAAGACAAATCCTTAAGATTAAAAACATACCTTTACTGACTTCATTAAAGTATTTTTCTCAAAATATCGTGAACTTTTTCAGACCTCATTTTATACAAAACATGCTTTTCCAAATTACGTGCCAACATTCAGGTCAGGCGGCAGGTCAGCCGCCATATCCGTCTCACACAGGATGACTTTTTTGCTTTTTATCTCGTCTCTTAAAAGTTTGTGCAACTGTTTGAGTATTTATGCTTGAACGCGTTAAATCCAGTGTTTCCCATCAAGTGATTGTGCCTAAATTAGGGCTCAGATTACTCCTGGTTAATAAAAATTGGCTTTTGTTAGAAGAGAAAATGAGATTGTGCCAGTTTTAACAAGAAATCACAACAGCAGAGAATAAAAAGAGTGCAGACTGAAAGGAACAGTTACGTTTGCATAACCATCAGTTCGTAAGCTCGCTGAGGGAATTCCCTTCAGTTAGGCGGAGAAAAGTTCTCAACACCGACCGCAGTGTTTCCAAAAGTCAGAGTGCTTTCTTCCTGTGCAGGTCCCTGTAGACTCACGAAAGACCCGGTTTAACCTCCGCTAGTTCTTTATCTCCAGAATGGAGGGGTTGTGGTCCAGGATGTTCAGGATGATTTTGTCCATGTACTGACGGAGACGTAGGTTAATCTCTTCTTGCTCCTTCAGGGCTTCCATTAACTGTGGAGAAACATCCAACACTTTTAAGGTCAATTTGAGAATAAATGTCGAGTCTATCCTGAAACTTTCAGGGATTTTTTTGTCAGCTATTATTTGGTAGATAGCTTTCTGAACAGCCTCGGTTTGGAGAAATAGTTGCATCCAACAGGACCGATGAGCTAATGGAATGCAGCCATTTGAAAATGTCGGATATTAAAAATTTCACAGCGGCTCAAATATTTATGAACATAACGTAAACATAAAAGTTTATAACGTTTTCATGAATCCTTGTGGGATTCTGGAGTTGGATGTTTTTGAAGACACTCAGCATCAGACTCACTTTTAGCTCATTAATCCTGAAGGATGAAAACACTATTTCTCCAAACTGAGGCCCTTAAGGTTAAGGGTTAAGGTTGTCTTTACAGTTTCTCAAATGCTAAAACACATTTCACAAACGTCTCCTCCATGTTCCCCAAAGTCTAAACACACCCTTTTCCAAAACTACATAAACCCAAACTTTCACACCAAAAGAGCAGCTCGAAGCTTTCAAAAAAAATTTAACACTATACTCATTACACACTACAGCAAAACAATTGAAAACACAACGCTCAATTTGTGAGAAGGTTCTTTGTTTCATAACTGCCAATTTGCCCATTTAGAAACTTTACAGTTACGGATCTTCTTAGATCTCTGCAGAGGATTAGGCATTTAGATTTGTGAGTTTAATATGAAGAGTATACATCTATAGAGAATTCTGCATGTACACTGCTGTAACACAACTCAATGCAAAAACAGAATCTGTTGCACACAACAGTACTCTTGAAAACATGAGCAGGGTGTGAAATGTTTTTATTTACTTTATCACAACACACACACACACACCACAATCACTGTGCGGCATCATGTCGCTGAGCTGCATCGGGCCACATCACCTCATCCACATCGCAGGCTATATTGGCTGTGTCTCAATTCAGGGTCTGCATCCTACGTCGGCCGGATTCGTCGGCCGGTTACGTCACAGCGCCGCGACTCGGCCTGTCCCAATTCGAAGACTCCTTCAAATGCGGTCGACGAATGCGGCCTTCTTTTCGCCTGAATGAAGGATGGGTCCGGTGTATCCTTCAATGGGTAGCATTTCCCAAGATGCCTTGCGGGCCGGCCGGCAGAAAAACTTAAAAACAATGGCGGACAGTGAAGCGGGAGCTGTCGGAGAGGATTGCGCACATAAATGTCAGTATAAACTTGAAAACTGTTAGGTTAAGGACTTTTTGTGATACATGAACGTTATTTTAGTTAGAAATGTTACAGTAAAAGTGCTTGTATTGCGGTCTCGGCTCGTATGTTCGGCCGCTCGGTGTGGTACTTCTCCCGCTACGTTTCCCCCCTGATTTTAATAGAAGTTTGCATTTTAGGTACAAGAGAAAACCAGGGAATTTATTAAGCTTAGGGCGGAGATGGACCACATCATCACTGGAGCAAAGTATTCGGCGGCTGTGGCATGGAGGTACAACAACATCTCATATTTTAAAAACTCGTTTGAGTTAATTTTTTTCTGCGAAAACATGAAAGGAATAACCCGTTGTCCTCTTTTCTCTTCCCGTTTCTTTTCTTACATGTTTGTTAAGACTATTCCGGAGAAAATTGGCATCCAGGGGAAGGTGACAGCAATGACCAGCTTCTGGAGCTGATCAGGGAGGACTTGAGGCTGCAGAGGGAGGCAGAGAAGCAGAGGGCACAGGAGAGAAGGGAGAACTTTGACAGCCTTTTACTTTGCTGGAAAAAAATGGTTAATAAAGATTAAACATGTACATATAAAAGAAATATCTAAATAAAATCAGTTCTGCATTAAACTGTTGAATTTTATTTTGGTTTACAAATGAGAATTGTTTACTAGAGGGTATCCGCTGGGTCTGAAAAGTCTTAAAAGGTGATAAATCGGTTTTGGTCAAATTAAGACCCTTAGAAAGTATTAAAAACTATTATCACATCTTTGCTCAGGCTCAGCTAGTCGAAAGTATTTTCTCCGAATTAGCTCTCCAACAGTCAAGGAAACGATTAAAGATCTAAATAAAACTTCGAGCTCCATCGTTTAAAGTTCCTTCTCCCTTCTGCACAGCGGTTCCACAGTTGCTAGGCGACTGAACGTTCGCCGAGGGAGGGGCGGGAATTCATGAAGGCTAGGCCTGTCCAAATTCACAGCCGTTAACATCCGGTCTACCCGGCCGACGGAGGACCCAGCCCACGTCGGCCGAGTAGGCTGGGTCCTTCGAAGGATGCAGACCCTGAATTGAGACACAGCCATTGTCTCTTGCCAGGCACCGTGGGAAAAACACCCTGGAATGACGAATTCATCCTTGTGAGGCCTCCACTGGGATGTCACCACAGGCCAGCTCCATTGCCCTTAGGAGGTTCTCTCTGGTGTATGGCTGTCTGTTATGAACCTTCCATCTCCACGATGAGAAGAACTCCTCTATAGGGTTCAGGAAAGGGGAGTAGGGTGGCAGACAGACGTTTAAAAAGTGGTTACTGTTGGTGAACCACTCTCTGATTTGGTTTGTTCTGTGGAAGCGGACATTGTCCCAAATGATCACATAAATGTGATGTGCGGGCCCAGGATGGTGTTGGCGGTCCAGGAGGATGCCTTTTAGCTCCTCAAGGTGAGGAGATGTTGGGTGTTGTAAGACCCAAGGACAGCATGCCGGTGGACAAGCCCCTCCGGACCCATGGCCGCACAAAGAGTAATATTACCCCCCCATTGGCCAGGAACCTCAGTGATGACTCTTTGGCCAATGTTGTTACGGCCTCTTTGCCTTCGTTTCTGCAGGTTGAAGCCAGCCTCATCCAGGAAGAGGTACTCATGAGGTCTGGCCATCGCGTCCGACTGTAATATCCTCTGTGAAAGTGTGAAAGTGCACAGGTGTTCAGAACAACAGTCAATCAGGTAGCACAGTATTGTCCAAAACTAATGTAGGCCACTGAGCAACACGGTATATCCACCAACTGTACTATGAACATGATGTATACTTACTTGCACATACTCGTAACATAGGTCTTTGTGTCGCGCTCAAAGGGAACCCTATAGACCTTTTTCATCCACATCTTTTGGTGCTGGAGAACTCTGTCTATTGTGGCCAAGCTGACATCAATGCTCTCAAAGTTGACATTATCGGCAATGACTTTGTCTCTGATCTCCCGGAGTCTGATGAGGTTGTTCTCACCAACCATATCCACAATGATGGTTTCTTGTGCCGCTGTAAATATGGCAACCCTCCCACCTCTATGTGGTATTCTTTCAACCCTAAAGAAAGAAACGTGTGTTGTCAGTTGACATGTTTTACAATAACAACTGATTTGAAACCAATATACTACTTTCACAGGCTTGTAAAACTGTATTGTGACAAAGAAAGCAATAGAGTACAATACCTGTTGTGTTGTCTAAGTGCCCTGATAATGGTGGCCACGGTGAACCTACTCAGGTTTGGACGGACGCCTAAGCCTGGTTTATGCTTCTCCGTCAGCTCCGCAAGGGACAGACACGCACGGATTGACGGAAGCGTTTTGCTCTCATACTTCTCCGTCTCCTGGAGAGTGTTGCAAAGCAATTGCCCGGCAGGACCACAGAGGGCGTAGCGCTGTTCTGTGGTATCCTGTCATGTATCGGTCCAGGATTGTGTGTTTATATTGTGTTTTTTGTGTATATAAGAGACTTTTAACACGGACATATTTGTCTCTCATTCTCCCACCACTTCATGCGCTCCCCAACTCTAAACCCACGTTTCCTGTCATTTCCGTCCACAAATCAAACGCTTGCTGCGCATCTTTTCACTCCTCCAGTCACGGGAGAATGAAACGTTCATATTTTTAAAGTTTTTTCGTGAGGTATTCTTCAAGCTTCTCCGTGTCTGCCGCTAGTTATCCTCGGCTCTCTTTGCAATGGCGGTGCTGTAAACAACATCGGCGTCCTGACCAATCACAAGCTTGCGTAATCCGTCTCGTTCGACGGATGTTTGAAAAAGTGGGCTCGACTCCGTACGTACTTGCGTGCCTGCCGGAGCCCTGGGCAAGGACGGATAATGGCGTTGCGTGTCTCCGCACTGACGCAGACGGAGAAGCATAAATCAGGCTTAAGTCCTCTTCAGCCATTGTCATGCCATGGACAATGGCATGGTTAATGACTGTTGCTCGCATCTCTTCTGTTATGATGGTGCGAGATGATTGTCTTGCTCTCCCTCCTGGACCTTCTCCTCTCCCTTGTTGGCCTCCTCCTCTTCCTCGTTGGCCTGCTCCTCTTCTTCCATGGCCAGCTCTTCTCCCTCCTTTGACTCGAATTCCTCTTCCCCTGCCTCTGCCTGCATCCATTGTGTTTGTTTGGAATCTTCAGCAAACTGCTCTCTGAACTTGCTTTTATACATGTGGTCACAGCAGTAGCAACAAGTGTCTTCAATTTTGAGTCGTTGTGTGTAATGAATGACGACAGGTGTGTTCAATTAGTGCTGACTGTGGCAAGCATTTGGCATCACGTGAGCTTTCATTTGAGAATATGAGCAGAGTTCTTTTGCAACTTGTGTTTTAGCAAGGAAAAATGTGTTTAGATTTATGAGAACGGAGGATTGTGTTTTGTGAATTGTGTCTTCATGTGAAATGTGTTTATGATGTTGGAAAATGATGGCTAGATTAAGGCCTAGTCCACACGTAGCCGGGTTTTTTTTAAAAACCAATATCCGCCCCTCCAAAAACTTGCATCCACACCACCTTGTTTAAAAAAACTCTATCCACACGTTCCCGGATAAATACGTTGTTAAGGACATGCCAGACCTGTAGGCGGCAGTACTTCCCCCGTTCTTAACCTCGTCCTTCGTCTGTGGTCTTCCACAAGGAGCAGTAATTCCGCTTGCAAAAACAAACAAGCAGAAAGCGCTTGGACAATTGATAAAGCGAGCGCAGCTCTGAGGGCATCCATGCTGCCGGCTAGTGTAAACACAGGTCGCACACGTGATGTCAGCATTTTTTGTCGCGGAAAGTGACGTTGCGGACCTTAAAACTCCGGTTTTGTCCGTCCACACGCAGACACCCAAAACGGAGAAAACGCAGATCTTCACTTTCGCCGGAGTTTTTAAAAAGATCCGTTTTCGTGTGAAAAAACTCCGTTTTCGTGTGGATGACAGACTAAAAAGTAGAAAAGTATCTACGTTTTGGCAGATCCCCGGCTACGTGTGGACAGGGCCTTAGTAAATGTGTTTAGACAACTGGTCATTTGGTTTAGAGGGTTGGCTTTTGTGTTTTAGCATTTGAGAAAAACTGTAATCCCCAAAGGGGAAACTGAATTGCCTTGGACAAGTAAAAAAACTACAACATACACGCACAGGCAAAAAAATAAAAACAAAAATAAAAAATAAAATACATTCACTGGACACTGCTATAAGCCGTGATAGAAGTGTCAAATATACGATCATACAAAATGCTTGTTGTAAAAATGCCCTGCAGCAGGAATAAACGAGTTCCTAAAACGTTCAGTGGAACAACGGGACATTAACATTCACCCACTCAAAGAGCTCCTGAGATCCTTAAAAACCTGATGAAGGGGATGATCCTCCAGAGACATAACTGCCTCCTTTTGTCGATGATCATGTCAAATGAGTCCAAGCTTTGCCCAACCACTGAGCCAGATTTCTTCAGGAGGCTATTCAGTATTTATTGCTAAAACACAATAGAAATGACCAAAATATGCCATTAAGTCACTGATTAACTCTTCTATACTCAGTAGATGTTTAGGTCTGCATGCATTACACTGTCTGATGTAATGTTAGACTCAATTAAAGTCTTTATTCTGACTAGATCCATACAATTACTTCAAGGCTTTTTCAGCCTGATCCAACTTGGAAAAACAAACTCTACACTGGAGCGGGTACTGCATGCCTTTGTAATTTCTAGGCTTGACTACTGCAACTCTCTCTATCCAGGGTTGTGTCAGTCATCACTGCGTCGCCTACAGGTTGTGCAGAACAGCGCCGCCAGGTTCCTGACTGGGACCAGGAAACGGGACCACATCAGTCCGGTTCTGGCCTCCCTGCACTGGCTTCCGATTTGCTATCGCTCACAATTCAAAATCCTCGTCTTTGTTTATCATTTCTTCCAGGGTGGTGGTCCCCCCTATCTAGCCACTCTCCTGAACAAACATTCCCCATCACGCGCTCTGCGCTCCTCTGACCAAGGCCTGCTCGCTGTCCCTCGTTCTAGGTGTCGCACTCGCGGGGACCGGGCTTTCTCAGTCCTAGCACCGTCACTCTGGAACCAGTTGCCACCCTCAGTTAGGCTGTCCCCATCTCTGCCAGTCTTTAAGAATCACCTAAAAACACACCTTCTCCGCTTGGCGTTTCCAGAACATGTTTGATTTTGGCCCTCTTTTATGTTGAATTTATTTCACAGTTTTCATTGGTTCACTCAATCCAATTGTGTTTCACACATTTGTCCTGTACCAGAATGTTTCATCTATCTTGTAATTTGTATTTTGTAATTTGAATAGCTTTTATTGTTGATTTATTCAATATATTTACCTACAACTGTACCATGTTCAGCGCTTTGGGCTTCCTGACAGGGTTGCGGAAGGCGCTTTGATTGATTGATACACAGAAACAGCTGAGCTGTGGCTGAAGTAAGAGGTAGCCATGGAAAAGGAAAGCATTAAGATAGTTTCCATGTTATTGATCTTAAACCACAAACTCCTTTCTTACCTGATCTTTCGAGGCATTATCTATCTCAGCAGCCAGAGACTGGGCCTTGGTCTGGGTGGCAAACAGGCTCTTGGCTTCATACAAGCTGAGACTGAGGATCTGACCGTTCAGATCCTCGTTCTGCTCCCGCAGCTTCTGGTTCTCCTGAAACACACGAGCAGGGTGGAGGGTAAAGGAGAGGAATTCTGCTGTTTGATCTGGAGATTAAAAACAGCAACTACTCAAGCTTCACTTAAAACACAGTAGAGCAACGTTTAGTGCCTCATCGAGCAGCAAACACACCGTTAATGCGGACGGGTTATGCGTGTTAACTGTTTCCCTGTGCTGCCTGCTGCGGTACGAGTAAGTTGCCTCTAAGGCCCTGTCCACACGTAGCTGGGGATCTACCAAAACGTAGATATTTTTCTACGTTTTGGCCTGTCATCCACACGAAAACAGAGTTTTTTCACACGAAAACTGATCTTTTTAAAAACTACGGCCAAAGTGAAGACCTGCGTTTTCTCCGTTTTGGGTGTCTGCGTGTGGACAGACAAAACCGGAGTTTTAAGGTCCGCAACGTCACTTTCCGCGACAAAAAAATGCTGACATCACGTGTGCGACCTGTGTTTACACTAGCCGACAGCATGGATGCCCTCAGAGCTGCACTCGCTTTATCAATTGTCCAAGCGCTTTTTGCTTGTTTGTTTTTGCAAGTGGAATTACTGCTCCTTGCGGAAGACCACAGACGAAGGACGAGGTTAAGAACGGGGGAAGTACTGCCGCCTACAGGTCTGGCATGTCCTTAACAACGTATTTATCTGGGTATGCATGGACAGAGTTTTTTTTAAAACGAGGTGGTGTGGATGCAAGTTTTTGGAGGGGCGGATATTCGTAAAAAAAAAACGGCTACGTGTGGACTAGGCCTCAGAGGAAGCCAGTTTGCTTCTCCCTTGTTTTACCGGCAACCATCAAACAAGGGAACTGCAGGGCTGACCCCAGTCAAACCTGGCCAAGGCCGCACTACTCCAGTGTGATTAGTGGTTAATGGGGACTCAAAATGGCACAGAAGCACTTTTACCATCAGACCAGGGCTGACCCGGGCCCCCGACAACATCAGGAGAGGGAATTCAGGGGAAAGGAAATCCTGGGACATATACTGCTACTCACACACACGCACGCACACACACACACACACACACACACACACACACACACACACACACACACACACACACACACACACACACACAGATTACACAAAACTGTTGCTGAACAGTTTCCTCTTCACTCTGACACATGGGAACAAATACTAACAAGCTGCAGACAGAAAAAAGAAACATGAAGCCTGAATGCACTTCATCATAATCTCAACATTCTCATAAACAAACAAATAAACAAATAAATAAAAAGTGTAACTTCATTCCAGCATCCCAGACGTTTCATCAGGGCATTAGAAACCACTCGTGTCCAGGAAATGGTTCACACAAAATGGTTTTAACATTCTTCCTCCTGCCTGAGCCTCATGTCACAGGTTTGACCACAGGTTATACGAGGACACTGACAGTCCTGACTTTCAAAGTAAAAGTTAGCTCAAAGCTCAAAAGTCCAGATGAGTTCTGCTTTCTAAAACCTTTAAACAGACAATGTAGACTCGTAGAAAAGGAGTCACCACAAAAAGAACAGGGTCGGTTTCCATACGACGTTCAGAGATGTGTACAACATTGCCTTCTTACTCAGTTGATTCTCTTTATTTTTGCTGCCAGGACAACAGAGGGCATAGCGCTATTCTGGGGTATCCTGCCACCATTACAGTCATGTATTTGGTCCACAATAGTGCATTTACTATTGTGTTTAGATAGCTTTAATGTATTTCAGATATGTTTTAACACAGCTACATTTGTCCCTCGTTCTCCACCTCTACACGCCATGGGCACCTCTAAATCCACGTTTATCGTCATTTCCATCCAAAAATAAAAACACTTGCCAAGTTTCTTTGTACTTCTTCAGTCACAGGTGTCTAAACGTTTATATTTTCAAGCTTTTCCCACGAGGCGTCCTTCAATCTGTTCTGTGTCTACCGCTAAATATCTTTCTTGGTGGTGGTGGTGGTGGGGGGGGGGGGGGGGGGGTGCTGTTGACAAATTTAATAGAAGTGGCGTCCTGCCCATTCACAAGCTTGCGGTCTCCGTTCCTCTTGAGCTTTTGCCCATGCCACCCTGTGCGAGCACGTCGGAGAGCCCTTGCACGGAGGCTCTTGTCTTCAGACAACTAAAACATTTCATGGGTGTTTACGCAAATTATACATAAATATTAAAATCTACAATAATAGAGCCTAGTCCCATCAATTAGATATTCATGTGACATCATTTAATGTCATTTTCTCAATCAGAAGAGAGCATGAACTGTTGCTATAAAAGCAGAGAAAAGCTGCTATGGAAGCCTGGATGTCCATAAAGGCAGTCGGTGTGCATAAAATGTGTTTTTAAAGGAAGTTGGACAGAAACTAAAAAAGGAAATATTTCTGGTTACCGGCCCACAGGAAACACAGAGTTTCATAACGAAAAACACAACCAGGTGAACATGAGTTTAACCTTCGGAAAGAGTTGAAAACATGACTTTAGAGTATGTTCGCACCGTGGAAAGTCAGAATCTTTTTTATAGAAACAGTTTTCCTTGATTAAGTTTTGTGATCATTTGGAGCTGAAATGAAAGACATATTCCATTTTGTTTGCACAGTTTTACTCAATGCTACAACTCTGCATGAGAAAACCACTTCATTTGAACCTGTTTTGTTCTACAGGCCCCTGGTCTTCTGTGACTGAACAGAGGAATATTAATAATTCAGTTTACCCTCAGATATAAAAACACGCTTCTGTCTTTGTGAAAATACAAACAGCTGACAGAATACCTTTAGCCTAAGCGGTAGAGCCCTGCACTGAAGCCCTAGGCCCTCGGGTCGGACCGGCCCGACGGCCCTCGGGCCGGGCTTCGGGCCAACGACTGTGTAATTACCTCGGACACGGGCCGGGCCGGGCGCCTTTATTTTTAATCAAATTCATTAAAAAAAATTTCAAACAAAACGCAGCAGTAGAGCCCTGCGCAGGACTGTTTTCTTCATCCCGCTCCTGCCCGCTCCCGCTGAATTTCTGACCATTACCGCCTGCAACTGCAACGTGTGTGTTACACTCCCGCTCACGTCCGTAGCGTGCATGTCTACTCCCGCCCGCAACCGCAAAACTCGGAGAAATTATTACCTCACAATAAAAGAGATGTATTGAGTTTGCGTCCTCTCTGGTCCTGGAGAAAACATGTCACAACCCGCGGCTCTTCCATCCATCTGATGCGGCTCTCTGTGCTTGTAAAATAATGAATGGATATTTAAGTAAAATGCTTTATATTTTACTGAATTAATTTTACATCTGTATGCCAATTCTAAATGTAAAGATTGTCTGCGTAAACCTGAACAGGTCCAACCCGGTCTTACTGTGAGACCGAGTTGACGCGTCACGCTTGTGCGTAATCATAGGCGCTTTCTGAGCTGAAGAGGATGTGAGATTCTGGGATTCTCCTCAGACGGCTCCTGGATGTGTCGCCACATTGGAGACAGGAACAAGCGCTGTTCAGCCAAAGTTTCATAATCAGGGAACATTTTCTAAGTGACAAGTCTCTCTGAGCGACAGGGTTTGGAAAACACTCGCTTCAGTGGGAGGAAGCTTCCCGCATGCGCTCTGGTTCTGTGATGCGCTCCAAGCCAATCTCCACAACTTCAGCTCGCTGTGCACATACGCGCTGACAGCGAGCTGCGCAGCGCAGCTCAGATGTTCAGATGGGAATCTTTTCTTGGGTGATTTAGCTACATCTGCGATGTGTGTAGAATAAAATGTCAGTTCGTCTGCATGCGTCGGGGTAATTATTTCTATTCTTTCTCCATCAAAATAAACCGTCAAATACGGGAACTATCCGGTCAACACAAGCCCTGCTTTTGACTGTTTTGTTTTTTTGTGAAAGTTGTTGGAAAGAGATCAAATTTAACTTGATTACCACCAGAGCCAGTGCGCCGTCATCTCCGTGATGGTAAATGAGGAAAAAACAAATTGATCGGATCCTGCACGTCTTTTAACACATTGGTCAGGATTGACACACTTTGTTTTCATTTAGTTGGTTAAAAAAAAAGTCGGGCTCGGGTCGGGCCAGAGAATCCTGAAAACCTTTTCGGACCGGGTCGGGCTGGGGCTCCACCCCCTCAGGCCGGGTCGGACACGGGCCCAGATTTTAGGCCCGTGCAGGGCTCTACTAAGCGGGTATTCTCATTAATGTTCATAAAACGGTTCAGCTTCTCTGAAGTCTTCATTGCAAAGTCAAAATATCAATAACTCACGTTGGGCGCTTTAATTGTAAAACAAGGTTTTAAAAGCTGTTAAAAGAGACATTTATGAGTTGTTGTCAAACCGATTACCTCATTAGTAAAGTTTAACAAAAACGTACAGCCTAAAACCTCTGAGCGATGTTCGCCTCGGGTCAATCCAGTTTCTGGAGCCACAAAAACGCCAAAAGTCTTCATCGATTTATGGAAGTAAGACACTCTACATTCCTTTGGCATCACAAAAACCCCATTATTGGGTTACAAGCCTCAGTGCTGGCCGAGGAGTGAAAAAGACGAGCATGAATGCTGCTGTTTTATCTGTGTCTTAAAGCGGTTCCCTACACACACAGCATGTGACATGAAGAACAACGAGCTGAAGGGTTTATGCGTACCTGTTTGAGCCTCTTGACTTCGTGCTCCAGCTCCACCTCCCTGGTCCTGCTGTTGAAATCGGCGAGGCCAGAAGAGGAGCTGCGACTCCGGCCAGGCTTCTCCGCCTCCAGCTTGTAGAGCTGCAAGTGTTCCAGCTCCCGACGCAGATCCTCTATCAGCTTCACCGCAGAAGATGCGTGATGTTGTTATACAACACAGAGACAGCTTTTTGCAGGTACAACATGTCTAAATGCTACCAGAGGAGAAGATCAAGCAGCACCGCTGACTGGATCCTGGTCACACAGAGCGATTCCTCTCACCTCCTGCATGGCGTCCTTCTCTTTCTGGAACTGTTGGCGGTTCTGCTTCAGTTTTTCCATCATTTTCTTGTAGAGGTCCATTTCATCCTTCAGCCGCAGACTGGTGTCCTCCAACTTGTCCGTCATCCTTTGTTTCTCCTGAGGATGTGAAGAGGATGAGACTGATGCTCCTGACCGGGGTAGAAATACCCTGCCCCTAAAGCTTGGTTTATGCTCGACACATTCACTTTCCGCGCGGTGATGCGGCTCGCGGATGGAACGCGCTTCACAACTCGCAGCGTTTATGGTTCGTGCGGCTCGTCTCTGCGGTGAGCCAATATTCTCCCAAACTGTAGGGGGCAGCACGGAGCTCTACGGCATGCATCCAAAACTACACCATAGTAGAAGTAGAAATTACTGTTTACAACATGGCATTCCAGCATTTTTTAACAGCGTCCTCGTCTTTTCCGACAGTGCGAGCTATTTCTCTCCAAGAATTATTAACAACACGTTGATCACGGTGATCTCTGAGAGCTGAATCATACAAATGTCTGTATTTACGAACCTCTGCTATACTACTTCTTGCCGGTCCGCCATGTTTTTCCGCGTCCGACCGTCCGCGTGGTTAGAAATTTTCCTAGGTGTGCGTTGCGGAACTTTTGGGCCGTGCGGAGACGCGGTGGAGGGGCGTGGTTGTTAAAATGACGCAACTTTTCTGCGCGGAGCCGTGCGGACCTCGCGGACGCGTCAAGCATAAACCAACCGTAACTCGTATGGACCCCAGAAGCTGTATTATTTCTGACTATACTGACAAAACTGTGAACTTATTAGAAAAAACCAGCACAGCTCACCTCATCCAGCCTCTCTGTCTGTGACTTCAGGCGGATCATACTCAGAGACATCTCGCTATTGTCCTCCTCCAGACTTTTGTTTCTAACAACACAAGAGTCCAACAAGTCAGTGTCCTCCTCTCGAGTCAGTCACGATGCTTCTAAATGATCCTGGTCCATAAGCTAACTGTTGTTGTCCCAACACAAACAAGTGCATGCCTCTGTCAGTTTGTGCATCTCACCGACTCGTCAGCAGCTCCATTTGCGTGTTCTTGTCTCTTTCCATTTTGCTGAAAGCTTCTCGGTGTCTTCTTAGCTGTTCCTGCAGATTTTGCTCTGCACGAGTTTCTTGGTCCTTCAGCTGCTCCTCCAGCTCATTCACCCTAAAAGGAAATAGTTGTCATGCAAATGGTTTCTTTAGTGCAGCTGAACGGACCCGAGTCTGATTCTTCGATGCCAAATGACAGACTCTACCTGTGCACCAGCTGTGTGTTCTCCTGCTTCAGTTTAGACTTCAGATCACCATTCATCTGAATTTCATTTTCAAGTTCAGCTACCTTCTTCTCCAAGAAATTCACCTGAAATTGATCAGAGTAACATTCAGTAAAATGGCCATGTAAACATGATTACACGTAATATAAAACATGGTCAGATGACTGGAATAATAAAAGTTTTTATGTTTTAAAACTAGGGATGCACCGATGGATCGGCATTTGATCCCAATCGGCCGATAGCGCCCCTATCGGTTTTGATCGGAGTTTTCTAAATAGATCAAAGCAGACCGATCAGGTAGGGTTGTCACGGTAACCGGTGTAGCGGTAAACCCCGGTAAAAAAGTTGACAATAATAATAACAGTCTTGTTTTTAAAAAACTATATTATCTCGGTGGATTACCGTGGCTGCGGTGTAGGCGCGGTGACCCTTACCAGCCACCGTATCATCTGCTGAAGTTGCCGGTGTTGTGCCATAAATCGACTCACTGCCAAAAAATGATTAGCTTAGTTTTGTCCAGTTCGGAAGTTGTTTTAAGTGTTGCTATTTGTCTTAAACGTTCACAATGAGGATATATTAATCATTTTTGCAATATTTGCGATTGAAAGATGGTTTGTGGTAAGAACTGGCTTTCTTTATGTTACAGCCTTGATACTAAAAAAATAAATAAACAATGTAAAATGGCGCCCTGTATTGAATGTAAACGTTGTATAAATGTAAATAAACAATTCTCCAGCGATTTGATTTTTTCCCCTTCCTTTCTTTAGTGGCTAATCATTTTTTGGCAGCGAGTCGATTTATGGCACAACACCGGCGGCACATGCGCACTTTGTTGTTTACGACCAAAACTTTCTTTAAGCTAAAGCTGAAATAACGGCCAAAGGAGGAGACGGCAGCGCTCAGGACATTTTTTATCCCTCAAAGAAGACAAAGTGGGAAGTACGGGCATCTTTTGGATATTTGAAGAATGACGAGGGACAGCTGATAGAAGACGGCTATCCTGTTTGCAGCACGTGCAGAAAAAGTGTCTGTGAAAGGCAGCAACGCTTCAAATCTCATGACACATCTGCGTGACCATCACCCACAACTCTACAGTCAACACAAGGCAAGCTAACGTTAGCGTTTTAGCTAAAATGCGTGATCCGAGGATTTGGGTTGAGGGAGACTGCAACGAGTCGCTATATAAAGCAGCCGCAGCGCCGCTACCTGCATATAAACCGTGTCGCGGACACCCCCATGTTGAAATGGCGCTATGCATTACGGGGCTCCCAGGGGCAGATAAGAGTTGGTCTCTCTCCGAGAATAATTATGAATTTAACAATGATTACTGCCTGATGACATTTTCCCACATCTGCAAAGCTCACTGGAAGGACACAAACCGAGGACAACATTTTCCTGATATAGGGTTTATTACTCAAGTAAGGGTAAAAAAGTATCTGATTAGAAGGCTACTTGAGTACTGAGTATCATCTGATCTAATATTTTTAAAATGATGACATCAAACAGACAATAAATAAGAAGTTATGGGCAAATATTGGTATTTTAAAGGCTAAAGGGAAAAATGTAAACAAATAAACAAAATAATTACAAAATAACACATTTTAGGCAAAATTTAGACACAAACTGAGGACAATAATTCCTGACATACAGTGTTTATTTAATTGTGTGAAAATGTAGCACGTTTAAAAAAAAATACCGCGATAATACCGAAAACCGTGGTAATTTTGGTCACAATAACCGTGAGATTACATTTTCACACCGTGACAACCCTATTTCAGACCATTTTAGATTAGGTTACATTTCCTTTATTCCCAGATTATGTAGTTTGTAGCACTCAGTATGATGTTGTAGAAAATTACTGGCCAGTCCACGTGATCGGTATCGGTGATCAGCATTCTTTGATATCGGTATCGGTGATCGGCAGCAAAAAACCTGATCGGTGCATCCCTATTTAAAACAGAATAAAAAGATTTAAAAAGCACCTAATGATGAAATGGTATCAGATAATTTTGCATGATGGTTATTGTGAAGAGATTTATCACAATTATTTAAATGACCATGGTACATAAAAACATGTTGGAAAACTGAAATTTGTACACACAGAGTAGCAGCATGACTGGACTCACCAGCTGTTAAAGGGATATTCTTCCCAAAAATGAAATTTTGTCTGTTGACTTACTTCCCAGAGTTAGATAAATGGGAAAAAAAAACTCATTTTAACCAGCCCAGTCATTCTCCTGACGCGACTAGCTTTAGCTTAGCATAAAACACAGTAAGTGAATGAAGCCAACTAGCATTGTGAGTAAAATAGTCCTTAAATCACTCAGGAGTGATCCCAGTTCTGCTTGGTGACCTAAATAATCAGACTGACTGCAAGTGAAAATAATTAGTAACATAAAGGATGTTTTTCTTCATCTTGCACATTGTAACAGTCGTCCTGTGTATTTTCATTTTAAGATGTGCATCCATCAGAAACAGGATTTGGAGTCGACGTACTTCATTCATAATGGAGTTTTCACCAGTAACGTTTGTTTTCCTCGCCGCAGAGAAGACTTATTCGCTTCAAACACAGACATGAACAAACATCCTGCAGAGGCAGAAACACATCCACACCTTCTCATTGATGTCCGTGTCACACGAGTCGATGCTGTCTCTGAAAAGGTCCTCGGTGCTGCCGTTTCTGCTGCTCAGGTTGCTGCTGTGGAGCAACTGCCTGCTCAGAGACACAAACACATCAGAGGTTTCTGCACAAGTCTGTGTTAGTGTGGACGAGTGTAGAAATAAATATGGTGCTGACACACACACACACACACACACACGCACACATGGTGTCCTGGACACAAACACAGGTTTGTGTGCACGTGCTCCTGCTCCATTATGGAGACTAAAAGAAACAGAGGAGGGAAGAAGAACAGACAGAAGAAAAGAGAAGAAAAAGGGAGCCATAGAGCTGAAGATGTTATCAAACTGGACACATACTCCAGGAGAGGAATCAGGGAGATGAAGCCAGACTTTATTGAATGCATTTATCAGCCCAGACAGGCTATTTTCACTCTGTCACTATAATTCAGTTTGAGGGTACAACCAGGACAAAAGCCTCAATATGAGATGTCTCACTCAGAACACAGCTGCTGCTGCAGAGAAGAACATGACAGTGTTTCCGCTCAGTGGCCAGTTGCAGATTAACCTGCTGCCAGAGCACACCTGAGAGATAAGAACGGTGTGAGGGCTTAGCTCCCTGTGTGTGTGTGTGTGTGTGTGTGTGTGTGTGTGTGTGTGTGTGTGTGTGTGTGTGTGTGTGTGTGTGTGTGTGTGTGTGGTGTGTGCGTGTGTGTGTGTGTGTGTGTGTGTGTGTGTGTGTGTGTGTGTTTGTGCCTCTGTCAACAAACAGATCAAACACGTGCAGCACAGCTTGTATGAGGCCTCAGCACACAATCAAGTAACCTTTGATACCCCCGCGTGCGTACACACACACACACACACACACACACACACACACACACACACACACAGGATTACCTTCCAAAGGCTGTGCTGGAGATTTTTCTGCTGGGGCTGCAGAAACAACGACAGAAACAACAATCATAATGAATTTGACTAAAGTGGAGAAAGTGTTAAAAATACTAGAAATGTGCATTTTTTTTTACAGTTTACAAAAATAGATGCAAAAACATGATTCTCATGAACTGATGTTGATCTAAATGATCTCAAGATGCAGTAATAAACCCCATTACAACTGAATTTAGCCTTTTGTTTCCTCAAACTACACCCATTAGAAAACAATGAGCAACCCTTTTATCTGAAAGTAACGCGCCTTTTGTTGAACTCTGACATTTATCAGTGTTTTCAAATGCAGACCCATGCCTTTACTTCCACTGAACTCATTTCTGCAATTTTCTCTTTTTTCATCACTTCCACCAAAGCAGGTGAACTCTTTCTGCATCTCTTTCATCTCTGTAATGTTTGCTTTTGCTCCTCTCCACATCATGAGCTCTAATGAAGAGCTCAATTACAGCACAAAACAGTGTAGCTCTGCATTTAGCAACATCATTCCACAAAGGGATACACTCCCCAGTGACACACACCTGTGTGTGTGTGTGTGTGTGTGTGTGTGTGTGTGTGTGTGTGTGTGTGTGTGTGTGTGTGTGTGTGTTGAGGTCAAGGGTAATGCCTATAGGTGGTGACAGAGACCATGTTACTGTTAATAATCTCCCTGACACAATGGCAGCTGAGGTAAGCGACGCCCTTACATAATAATTAATTAGCGAGTTCGTACACGAGCTTAATGGCTGAAGGGACACTTTGAGCACATTCAAGGCGAAAATAATCCACTTAGATTAAAAAAAAACTCCTAAAGTAGAAACAATGACTCATAATCTGAGGGAACACAATAAAACAGAGCCACCCATCATCTGCTTCTACTCACTAGAGGGCCTGTGGTGGAGGCTTCATGTGTTGTTAAACCAGTTTCGCATCTAAAAATAACAACACAAACAACTGTGCACAAAACACCGCTCGTGTGTAACATCAAGGCACTGATTTAACAACAAAACTCAGCCCAGCTTCCACGGATGAGGTTAGGAGTTTTGGTGTTTGCTGACTGGTAATTAGATTAAATAAGTTGTTAATTCTGCTGATCTTACAGGGAGGGCTGCTTCAACTCTTCACCTGCAAGGGTTCGTAACTCAGTAGAGCAGGAATTAGTCCACTCATATGAATGCCTTGTAAGTCGTGCTCTGGGAACAAGAAATCCCAGAAGCACCTGCATCTGCACTTATAACTCAGCTGGAGGAGAAAGCAGCTTCAGACAGCAGGATTTGGGGTCTTAGTTCCTGATTATTTGGACATCTCTCCTCTGATTGGCTAACAGCAAAAAGACTCAGTTTTCTCTTCAACATCAAATCACTTTTATTGTCACGTCACATGTGCAGGTACACTGGTACAGTACATGCGAGTGAAATTCTTGTGTGCGAGCTTCACAGCACAGAGTTGTGCAAAAATACAGTAATGTAAAAACATGTAAAATATAAAAATGGCTAATCTAAATATACAAATGAATAAAGTAAACAATAAGATAAGAGATATGAAATATACAGAGGCTGGTATGTGCAAAACAGTGGCATTAATGTACAGTATGGAGCGTGTGTAATTGTTGGAGTTTCAGTAGTGAGGGTGAGGTGTCTGCGATGTGTTCAGCAGTCTGATGGCCTGATGGAAAAAGCTGTCTCACAGTCTGCTGGTTCTGGACCGGATGCTGCAGAACCCTCCTTCCTGATGGAAGTAGTCTGAACAGTTTATGGCTGGGGTTGACTTGAGTCCTTGATGATCCTCCCCGCTTTCCTCAGGCACCGCTTCCAGTAGATGTCTTGGAGGA